TAGTGATACTGCCTTGGAAACCCAAGGAGGGGTCGCTATGAGTCAGGGCCGACTCGACGGCATATAACAACAACAACAGCCTTCACTGACAACACAGTATTGTACATGCAAAAGAGTTCATCTTTGTTTTCTACACCTCCCATGTACCTCTCTCTGTCTTCCTCTTCTCAATGCCACCATTTTGATCACTAACATTTGATACATTGCCCTTCTCTTCACCCAAATCAACACTCATCTCTACCTAACAGTGTTACCTCCCCTCCCCTCCCACCCCTGGTAACCAACAAAGAAAATTTCCTTCCATATCTAAACCTTTCCTTAACTTTTACAATAATGGACTAATAAAATATTTGTCCTTCTGTAATTGACTTATTTCACGCAGCATAATATCCTCCAAGTTCATCCACATTATAAGGAGTCTTGCAGATTCTAGGTTATTCTTTAGGGTTGCATAGTATTCCATTGTGTATATGTACCATAGTTTGGTTATCCATTCCTCAGTTGATGGACACCTAGGTTGTTTCCATCTTTTGGCTATTGTAAATAGTGCTGCGATGAACGTGGGTGTGCGTATGTGGGTTCTTGTCATGGCTCTCACTTCTTCAGGATATATACCTAGTAATGGAATGGCTTGGCTAAATGCTATTTCTAATTTCAACTTTTGAAGGAATCGCCATACTGCTTTCCACAGTGGTTGTACCACTTTACAGTCCCACCAGCAGTGTATGAGAGTCTCAATCTCTCCACATCCTCTCTAACATCTGTTATTTTCTGTCTTGTTGAACTTTGCTACTAGTGCTAGAGCAAGATGTTATCTCATTGTTGTTTTGATATGCATCTCTTTAATAGTTAATGATCATGAGCATTTCTTCATATGTTTGTTGGCCGCCTGAATATCCTCCTTGGTGAAGTATCTTCTGCCCATTTTTTAATTGGGTTATTTGTCTTTTTGTTATTGAGGTGTTAGAGTTTTTTTATAAATTCTAGAGATAAGTCCCTTGTCAGATATGTCATTGCCAAATAGTTTTTCCCAATCTGTAGGTTCTCTTCTGACTCTTTTGGAGAAGTCTTTGGAAGCACATAAAAATTTAATTTTTAGAAAGTGCCATTCATCTAGCTTATCTTCTGCTGTTTGTGCATTTCAGGTTATGCTTGATAGTCTATTTATGCCATATATTAGGGTCCCTAAATTTGCCCCTAGTTTTTCCTTGAGGAACTCTATAGTTTTAGGTTTCACATTTAAGTCTTTGATCCATCTGGAGTTTCTTTTTTGTGTAAGGTGTGAGATACAGATCTTATTTCATTTTTCTGCAAATGGATATCCAGTTTGCCAGCACCATTTATTAAACCAATATTCTCTTCTCCATTTAATGGATTTCGGCCCTTTGTCAAAGATCAGCTTACCCTAGATTGATGGATCTATTTCTGGGTTCTCAATTCTATTCCATTGGTCTATGTGTCTGTCATTATACCATTACCAGGCAGTTTTGACTACTGTGGCTGTATAGTAGGTTTTGAGATCAGCAGTGTGAGACCTCCAACTTTGTTTTCTTCAATAGTGTTTTTCTTAGCCAAGATCTCTTTCATTTCTATATAAAGTTAGTGATTGGAATTTCCATATCTTTAAAAAATGTTGATGAGATCTGGATTGGGATTACATTGAATGTATAGATTGCTTTGGGCAGAACTGACATTTTCACAATGTTCAATCTTCCTATCCACGAGCATGGGATGTTCTTCCATTTATGTAGGGTTCTTATGGTTTCTTGAAGTAGTTTTTTATAGTTTTCTTTGTAGAGGTCTTTTGTGTCCCTGGTAATATTTATTCCCAAGTATTTTATTTTATTGATAGCTTTTGTAAATGGTGTTGATTTTCTTACTTCTTTTTCAGTGATCTCTTTGCTGGTGTAGAGGAATCCAACTGATTTTTGGATGTTGATCTTATATCCTGGCATGATGCTAAATCTCTCAATTAGTTCCAGTAGATTTTTGACTGAGTCGCATTATCAACAAATAGGGATAGTTTGACTTCTTCCTTACCAATTTGGATGCCTTTGATTTCCCTTTCTTGCCTTATGGCCCTGGCTAGGACTTCCAGTATAATATTGAAAAGTATTGGTGATAGAGTGCATCCTTCTCTGGTTCCTGTTCGAGAGGAATGGTTTCAGTCTTTCTCCATTGAGAATTATGTTGGCTGTTGGTTTTGCATAGATGTCCTTTATCATGTTGAGGAATGTCCCTTCTATTCCTATTTTGCTGAGAGTTTTGATCAAGAATAGGTGTTGGATTTTATCAAATGCCTTTTCTGCATCAATTGATATGATTGTGTGGTTCTTCTCCTTTGTTTTATTTATGTGGTGGATGATGTTGATTGTTTTTCTAATGTTGAACCATACTTTCATACCTGATATGAACCCCAGTTGGTCATAATGAATGATTTTCTTGATATGTTGTTGGAGTCTATTGGTTAGGATTTTGTTGAAGATTTTTGCATCTATATTCATGAGGGATATTGGTCTGTAGTTTTCCTTTTGAGTGATGATGTCTTTGCCTGGTTTTGGTATCAAGGTGATAGTTGCTTCACAAAATGAGTTAGGGAGGAGTCCATCCTTTTATATGTTTTGGAATAGTTTGAGTAGGATTGGTGTCAGTTCTTCTCTGAATGTTTGGTAGAATTCTTTGGTGAAACTGTCTGGACCAGGACTTTATTTTTATTGGTAATTTTTTTGATGACCTGTTCAACTTCTTCTTTTGATATGGATCTGTTCAACTTTTCCACATCAGTCTGTGTTATAAAACTCTAAGAGAATAGAATATTTTCCTTCATAGAGAAAATGATCATCCCTGTTGCCATCAGGCTTTCTTTATTCTCTTCTTTCAAAACATTAGAAAATTTTTCTTCAAAAAATATATTTTGAAGTATTATCAGTTTCTATTTTAGTCAATGCCCTTTTTATGCATTAAATTTTTACCTCCTGCTTTAAATTTTTACAGCTAAGTAACAATGGCTGGAGTTCCTGGGTAGTACCGTTAAGATGCTCAGCTACTAATTTAAAGGACAGAAGTTCAAGTCCATCCAGAAGTGCCTCAGAAGAAAGTCCTGGCAATCTACTTCCTAAAAATCAGTCATTGAAACCCTCTGGAGCACAGTTCTACTCTGACACACATGGGTCACAATGATTCAGAATCAATTTTACGGCAATTGGTCAACAATAGCTTACTCATTTAGTACTTCCATAAAAATTATCACATTGGATTATGCCTTTTGAAACAATTAGATATTACTACAATAATTTTAGGAGCTCTGGTAGCATAGTGCCTAAGGCACTTGATTGCTAACCAGAAGGCTGGCGGTTCAAACCCACCAGCCACTCCTCGGAGGAAGGTTGGGCAATCCTACTTCCGTAGTGATACTGCCTCGGAAACCCAAGGAGGGTCGCTGTGAGTCGGGGCCGACTCCACGGCAAACAACAACAACAACAATAATTTTAAGAATGAGAAGAGTTAGTCAGTGATTTTCTCATACTCATACAGCTATTAAACAATAGAACTAGATCTTAAACTGAATTCTGTCACTTCCCACTTAGTGTTCTTTCCTCTAACTTATATGGCTGTCAATGCAAATCTATTCTTGTCATACTTTCAACAACCAACTATATATTCTATTACAGTGTGAGTTTCTACTGCACTTTTACTATATTCTGTATTTTTTTGACACTATTACTTTTTTAGCTTCTACGTCAGTCAGGATCTTTCATTCATGCAACAGAAACTCTAGTTGATTTAAATAAATAAAGAATTTGCCAAGAGCATATTTGATGGTTTATAGTTATGGGGATGTAGTTTCAGAAACAGACAGGAACAAGGGGGAAGCAGCCAAGATCTCCGCCAAAACATGCCACAGAATGTAGATGTCAGTGGACAGTGGATACTTCTGCTGGTACATCTGGTCCTACATCTGCCCTTGAAAACTGACTATTTTTTAAGAGCAACTGCCATTGACCATTAGTAGGATGCTTTTCCATTGGCCAGGCTCCTTTGTGGCACTATCTTCTGTTTTAATGTCTTATATTGGGATGTCTGACTTATTTTTCATACTGTGCTTTCAGAGAAAGTTGAGAAACCAACTGTTTTTATATTGGACCACTGTCATGGGAGATATTGGGTCCTTGGGTGGCACAGTTTACACTCAACTAATAGCCTAAATGTTGGTGATTCAAACTCACCCCCCAGTGCTATGGAGTAAAGCTCTGGTGATCTGCTTCTGTAACGATTGCAGCTAAAAAGGCCCTACGGAGTAACACAGAGTTATTAAGAGTTGGAATTAATGGCAAGGTTTTTTTGTTTTTATCATGAAGGGTGAACTCTGCCTCCAAAGAAGTATGATGCATATGCTTCACCAAATATGAGGGTTGAAATAATAAAAATTTCCTCAGCCACACAGACACACACAAAAACCCACCAAGTTCCAGTATTGATTCCAATTTAGTTTTGTGTTTTCTTTCACTGGGGTGAGTTTTGGGACAAGGGACATGTAATTTGTAAATTTGACTTAATTGTCACACAACCAATAATTACTCTTGTTCTGAAGTATTCTGAAGAGTCTACACTTGTCAGGTAAGTTTCACTTATCTCCCAAGAAATTCCTTTTTCAAAGTTACCTTCTAATATTTCTTTCAAATCAGTGAGATTCTTCTCAGGGTCTGACAGTGTGAATCAGTGCTTTCCACAATATTTTCAAAGTGTGAAGAATATATTTAGCACCTTTCCCTGTCTTGGGGATTTTAAGATATGCCTCATTATTTAACATTAAGAACCTCAAATATTTTTTCTATAAACAATGTATTTCTGGATCTGAGTAACACTTTCCTCTGCAGTATTTTTGAACAGTGGCTCCGAAGATACCGGCCTCTTCAAGAAGTATATCCAGAAGCCAATGCACCTATTGGACATAATCGGGAGTCCTACATGGTTCCGTTTATACCTCTCTACAGAAATGGTGATTTCTTTATTTCATCCAGAGAGCTGGGCTATGACTACAGCTACCTGCAAGATTCAGGTAGAGTTCAATTTCTTTCTGATCAATTACTGAATCTAGTGTGACAAATTTATTTTGAGAGAGTACAAACTTTTATGTTCCTACAATGTTATCCCCAAGCACATTAAATCAGAATTGTTATTTAACAAGCCTCTTTATTCCAAGCTTCCAATTTTATCTGGTATGGGGTAAAACCAATTAATCAATCTGAGTGCAAGTAAGGTGCATTAAGAAAGGCAATACTTAACTAATATAAATGAAGCCTGATAGAAAAATGTCATTTCTCTTAATAACTAGTTCATTTTTATACATGAATTAGAAAAAAAAGAAAACATTTCTTTTTCAATTATTTTGCCATGTATTTTTCTAGGTGATTTTATTTATTTATTTTATTTCTACATTTATTTGTTGAATAACAACTTTGAACAGCACATTATGTTAGATACTATGGACACAGTGGTAATCAGCATATTCTGTCTTCGTGGAGCATTCATACTAATGGAAGAAAGAAACCTTAAACAACTACTTACCTAATTACTCATTTATTTATAAATGTGCCTGCTTCTAAAGTCAATGAAGTAACACTTCAGAGATCAGTATGACAGGCAGCGTTAATTAGTTATCACTGAGTTGACTCTGACTCATGGCAACCCCTTTTATGTCAGAGTACAACTGTGTTCCATAGAGTTTTCCATGGCTGATTTTTTCAAAAACAGATTGCAAGACCTTTCTTGCGAGAAGCCTTTGGTGGACTTGAACCTCCAGGCTTTCAGTTAGCAGTCAAGTATGTTAAGAGTGCTTAGTTCAGAAGAAACTGTTTAAGTGTCAATTTGGCAAGAAGCATGGAAGACTGACACTAAGATTCTACATAAGGCTTTATTAAGGATTTTGGTCTTACTATTAGAACAATGGAGGCCAATGATGAGTTTTAAGCAGAAAAACCATGGTCAAATTTGAATTTGCAAAAGATTATTATTGCTTCGGTATATAGAATATATTGTTTTGTGAAGCAGATACAGGAAGGTCAATTAAAATATTATTTCAAGAGTTGAGAAACGAATGTAGTTTGGACTGCAGTGGTGGTGGTCATAAGTGATATAGAGAAGCATGACAAATTTTGGTAATATTTTCAAGATTAAACTTATAGAATTTGGCGAGTGACTTATATGCTGAATGAGGAAGAAGGAGATGTTGTGGATTTTGTTAAGTTGTCTTGCTGGTGTAACTGGTGAATTGGGGTTCCATTCACTGAGAAAACAGCAATAGGAGCAGGGATGGACATGGAAAGATATGGTAGGATTGGGTGATAGGAGACAGCAGGGCGAAAATGTTCTTGGGTCGGCAGGGTATACAGGTCTGAAACTCAGAGAAGAGCTCTGAGCTGGACATACTAACTTTGAAAACATCAGCATATAAATTGTTATCTTAATTTTCACAACCTTATTTTTACCCTATTTTACATGTTAAAAAACAGAGTCAGGTAAATGACTAACCAAAAGTCGCAAAGCTAGTTCGTGGCGAATATAGAATCCAAAAGTAATGATCTCTCCACTGATCCACAGAAGAATGTGTTCTCTTTAGCCCTTATATTCTTTTTATAAATACACACATCTCATTGTTCCCTCCCTAGCATCCAAATGGATATATTTTACTGAAAAGATGACAAAAACCCTTAGGTGATAAGGGGAGAGTGGGGTCAAAGGTGGCCTGAAGGTATTCATTTCTTATTGAAGGAAATGAACTTCATTTGAAAAGTTTAATCTATTTAGAGTAATTTTTATACAGCTGTGAATTTACAAAACTAAATTTAGACAGGTATGATTTCATAATAAGCCACAATAAATATTTAATTTCTATCTCTGAAGTACCCTATATTTTTACTTCTGTTGTAATTTCAGGGAGCTTAAAATTTGTTTCTCTTATGCCTTGCTAAACTTTTAGCTTACTAAAAAAAGAAAATCCTTTAAAATATCTTGATATAATTTAGTTCAAGTGGTTCATTATATAGTTGTTCATGCTTATAATTACTTAAGTGTTTTCTGTAGAAAGACTTCTAAAGCTTGACATTTGTCAAACATTTTCTCTTATAAGTAAATCAGTTGATGGTTTGAAAAAGTGAGTAGGTAATTTTGTTGCATGCATATTTGATTAATAGATGTGACCAAAACTTTGATAAAGAGGATATATGTCCTCTTTCTGCATGGTACTTCTCGGTTGAGACATCTTCCTTCCTTATAATATATTACAAAAGACCTAGAAATTTGAAGTAACAAATGAGAGGAGAAGCCATATCCACAGTTGTTAGAGTGTTCATTCTGTAGATGGGATTTAATGACTGTTCTGTCATTCATGGATTTGTGCAGTAGCTGTCATGGCTATGTATACACCTGTGTGCATGTGGTTCCTTATGCCAGAGGTGACTTGCCATCAAATTAATACCCTCAAGTTTCAACTTGTTCTTCTATTCAATAGGATACTCTTCTCCTGAGCTACTTTCCTTGTCTCCTTTGGCAGATTTAAGAAGTCACTTCCCCATGATCCCATTTTATCTTTAACATATTTGTATTAGAATAATATTACTATTGAAACCATCTGTTTACCAGCCTACCTTATCTTCCTGTTATTATTTCTTTCAGGGCAGGACTTTGTCTTATTTCTGCTTTCATCTTCAATGTCTAGACCACTAGCTAGCATGTAGTGTACCTCAGTTAATATATATGTATTTAATGAACAAATGCATAAATAGAAGAACAAAAGACAAAACAAATGATGAAACACAATGCCTAATCTTGAGCACTTGTGATCAAGTCAGAAAAGTAAGACATGCATACAAGTAATTATGCAGTCCCTGGGTGGAAGCAGTTAAGCCCTCAACTGCTAACTAAAAGATTGGGAGTTCAAATCCACCTAGAGGTGTCTCGGAAGGGAGGCCTGATCATCCACTTCCAAAACATTAGTCATTGAAAACCCTATGCAACATATTTCTACTCTAATGCACAAAGTCACCACGAGTTAGAATCAACCTGATGGCAACTGATAATAAATAATTGTAATACATGGGCACATGTGCCAAGCGTCACAGAACCGGCAAAAGAAAGGAATTGTTTGATAATCCAGAAGAGGGAGCTAAGTCAATGATCACGGCAGGTTTCAGAAAGAAACTTTTTCTGTTGAAAGCTGGTTAAGCTGAGAGAATCAATGAAATAAGTATGGGAATAACAATAATGTTTATAAGTTTCTTACTATGTGCTAGGCATTATATCAAGGCTATACATATACTACCTAGTTTAATCATTATTGGCAAAGTTTCTAAGTTGCAAATACCTAATTCATTAAATTGGGGCAATGGTCCCTCATGTGTTTGTTGTCTGGATGATAAGACATGTGAATGTACTTTGGGAATGGCAAAGCAAAAACAAATGAAATATTATATGAATATTCCCTAGAGAGTAGGTGAAAAGGTAAATGGAACTTTATGTAGATACAGATGATAGAAAAAAAAAATGACATTAAGGAAAAAAAAAGTTTATTTTCGTTCTCAAGAGCAGAGAGTTGAGGAAAAAAGTCTGAATTTTAGTTGGAAGGCACTGAGAAATACAAAGAAGTCTTCAAAGAAAATAGTTCATTTGTAAAAGTAAAACTGAGACCATTTGGAATGGGTTGCTCAAATGGTTAAGTTTATAGCTACTAACTTAACCTAGAAGTGCTTCTAAATGAAGTACCAATGATCTGCTTCCAAAAGGTCACAGCTATGAAAACCTTATGAAGCACAGCTCCGCTCTGCACAGGGGTTCACCATGAGTTGGAATTGACTTGACAGGAACTGGTTTGGTTATTTTTGAAATGAAGTAGAGAAATAATGAGAATCATGGACACTAAAGATGTAGAAACAATACTGAAAAATTGGGAAAGCATTTGAGCCTGAGTCAGGCCTCAAACAATAAAAGAAATATTATTAAGCAACCTGTATGTGCTTGTACCTTGCTAGGCACTGTAAAGGTATTGTATATTGAAGCTAACAGCTAAGCATTTCAAAATAATTTTAAGTCTACTACAATAATAACAACTTTCATATTTGATGGAAATAATTTTTCACATTATTTTAATTTCCTTTTTATTTTAGCTCTGCTAGATTTCATTGTTTGAATTTAAATGAATATTCAAAGCTATAGATATTTTTCATTACATTGTATAATGTTAATCCTTTGAGAATTACTGCCTTTTCCTGATTAAGAGAAATATTGTATTGCAGTATTGTTGAAATTATGTTTACTAACGTCTAAGAGTCTTAGAGGCATCTTGAGGGGCTGGCAAAAAGATGGTGCCAGGGACAGGAGAGGACACAATAACAGCAAAAATGGACAAGAACTTTAGCCTACTGCCCTGCTTAAGCCAGGGAAGCTTCACTTTTATCTTCTTTGATTATCAGGCTTTTATGTAAAATTATTTAACAGAATCTTCTGATTGAAAACTAACTTGAAAAATCTTGCTTTGATTCTTCTCAATAACAGTGTGTAGTACAACTCTTAAGTTAAATTTTGTTTCACATTGCTTCTCATTTTTCCTAAGTTAGTTTACTAAGTAAAAATTACTTTTCTCCTTGGTTTTTCTTCTTATTTGTATACTACTTTAAATTTAGATCCTTGTAATTCCAGAGTATCTTACAGTACTTACTCTGTGTTTCTCCATAGTAGAGAGAGAGTTAAATTTTAAAAGGTAATTAGGACTTTTAAAGTACAAATGACAGAAACCTTATAGGAATGAGATTAGATAAAAATGGAACTTGTTGACTTGCCAAATCTAAGGAATGATGAACATTCAAATGGTGGGAAAGAACGAGATACAGCTGAGCCTCAGGTACAGTAAGAGCCAGAGAACTAAATACACCACCAACTGACCAACCAAACACTGCCACTGAGTCGGCTCCGACTCATAGCAACCCCTCCCTTGGGTTTCCGAGGCAGTGTCACTACGGAAGTAGATTGTCCAACCTTCCTTCGGAGAAGTGGCTGGTAGGTTTGAACCACCAGCCTTCTGGTTAGCAGTCAAATGCTTTAGGCACTATGCCACTAGAACTCCCAAATGTCCTAAGGACTCTCTATTTCTCTAGCTCTTGTCTCTACTTTTTTGTGTGTGTTGGCCTCATCCTATTCTGTCCTCATTTTCTGAGTCTGTTGATTTCAATTTTAACACAGTAAATTCTAAATAATAACTCCCATTAGCCCATCTCATGTCAGGATATCACACACATACTAATCAATTATAGCCAAGGAACAGGGCCATGAAAGAATGTTATAGTTTCTGCATCAGTGGGGGTGGTGAGGTAGGATTGGGGAGCAGATATATTAATTAAGAAGTTCCTATTTCCTTGACTTAAATAAGTCAGTAGTTTATTAATTGCTCAAATTTCTTGTGAGGCGATAATACTCAAATAGCAGTCTGGATATGGTATGTTATGAAATATTGTTGTTGTTGTTATGTGCCGTCGAGTCAGCCCCGACTAACAACAACAACAACAACATTTCATAACATATCATATCCAGAATATATTAGCTTCATAGATTTAGAGCAGAGCTGCTCAATTCTTGTAGCTCCACAGACCCTAGGGTTTGCCCTGCACCACATGGTCTGTGAGGGCACATCTATACTGTACCAACAGATCCTGGATTATGAACAAATTCCATTCTTTAGTCTGCCTTTGAGTCAAATTTTGTATGTAAATAGGCAGATAGGTACAGTTCGTATCCATCATCAGTTAGTCAAATGTTTGTCTTGGTATATAGTATATATTGTACATTTTTATTCATAAAAAATATTGAAGAAACAGTTACAGATCCATTAAAACATCTTTAACAGTAGTACAGTAATAATAATAATGTTGGGGTTGACTCTAACTACAGGTTGTATGTAAGTCTTGTAACCTGGGATTGCCTGTATTTGCATTCTAAGTAGCACAAAGTAAATAAATAGATAGGCAAAGAGAAGATATATATACCTTTTCTTTTTAAGAGTACTACTCAAAAGTTGCATATGTTGCTTCTGCTCAAGACTTAGTCATATAGCCATAATTTGCTATAAATTAGGCCCAGGATGTACTCTTCTTCCCATTTCTATCACAAAATTTCTCTTTTATAGAGCATCTTCTATAAATAAATTACTTTTTTATACAGAAACTTCTATAAATAAATTATTCGTTTATAGACACTCTACCTCTGTTCATATTGAGCAGAGGTTGAGGACCTCTTTATTTACTGAAAGCTTATAGTTTCCAAAATAGTCTATTATCATAGCATTGTTGTTATTAACTCAAAATTTATACTTCCTAGATTCTACGATTATATGCACATAAATAGTAAACATCTCTTTTAACTTTTAACTGCTCAAAGCAAAACCTGTTGCTGTAAAGTCAATTCTGACTCACAGTGACCCCGAAGGACAGAAAAGAACTGCCCCATAGGGTATCCAAAATTGGACTCTTTATGGAAGCTGAGTGCCACATCTTTTTCATTTATTCAACAGTATCCTATCCCTTTTAATATATACGTGTGTTCAGAGATTTTCTAAATATATGATCATATCAGCTGTTCATTACTTCTGGTACTTTATAGTAAAATTTTCCTAACTGTATAAGTAAAATACATTCATTTTATATTGGAATATTCAAAAAGGGAATAAATGCAAAAATGTCTCCCAAATTCCCACTGCTCAGATTAACCATCTGTTGTGTTTTTCCTTGTATTTTTTTCTATGTACACACAAATATGTTATCAAGTATGCTTAATTAATTTCATTTAAAAGCAAGAGAGTACTCTAAAGCTTACAACCTCCCACTCCCCATCTACTTCCCTAATCCCAAAATCCCAATCCAGCTAGGTAATTTAACTATTTTAGCTATTTATTCTGCTAATTACAGAATAAGTATTTCTAAAAAGTAGACAAATATCACTATCTCTTACTTTATTAAATGTCTCTGGAGTTTCTTACAAAGACTGTAGCTCTCTTACTACCCCTCTTTTCTTTCTTTCAATTTCTCAGTATGATAGTACCATCATTTGAGGTCAAATCCACATGTAGAAATTTTTTATTACTTTACTATGTAAGTATTATTCACAGTTGAGTCAAATACTATTCTATGAATACATTTGCTTTCTTGCATTATCTTTTCCCTTTTGTTATTGTTGTTAAGTGCCGTCGAGTCATTTCCGACTCATAGGGACCCCATGCACAGCAGAACGAAAAACTGCCCGATCCCGTGCCAGCCCCACAATCCCTGCTATACTTGAGCCCATCATCGCAGCCACCATGTCAATCCATCTCGTTGAAGGCCTCCCCCTCTTTCGTCGACCCTCCACCCTACCAAGCATGACATCCTTCTCATCCTTAAATTAGGATGTCCAGATGATTTCTCCACTTGATTTTTTTTCAACCCAGTTGAATTTCTAAAAATAGTTTAATGGACATTCTTCTCCAGGGAATGGTCCCTTCTTACAACATGACCAAAATAGGTAAAAATAGGTGAGACAAAGTCTGGCTTGAACTTGCATATGAGCAGTTTGATTGTCTGTTCCGCAATCAGCTCCTGGCCTTGTTTTGTCTGAACATCTTGAGCTTCTCCATCACCTCTTGCTACAGATGTAGTCTATCTGATTTCTGTGTACTCCATCGGGTGAAGACCATGTGTAGAACTGTTCTTTATGTTGTTAGAAAAAAGGTATTTGCAACGATTAAGCCATTGCTCTTTAAAATTTCTATTATGCGATCTCCAGCATTATTTCTATCACCAAGGCCATATTTTCCTACCACCTGTGATTCTCCTTTGTTTCCAACTTTGGCATTTCAATCACTAGTGATAATCAACATGTCTTGATTGCATATCTGGTCAATTTCAGACTGCAGAAGGTGGTAAAAATCTTCAATTTCCTTCCTCATCTTTGGTGGTTGGCGCATAGCTTTGAATAGTAGTAGCATTAACTGGTCTTCCTTGTAGGCATATGGATAGTATCCTTTCACTGACAGCATTGTACTGCAGGATAGATCTTGAAACATTCTTTGTGATGATAAATGCTACACCATTCCCCTTCAATTTGTCATTCTCAGCATAGTAGATCATATAGTTATCTGATTCATAATGGCCAAAACCAGTCCATTTCAGCTCACCAAAGCCTAAGATACCACTCTTTATGCATTCCATTTCTTTTTTGACAACTTCCAATTTTCCTAGATTCATACTTTGTACATTGCATGTTCCGATTATTAATGGATATGTGCAGCTGTTTCTTCTCATTTTGAGTCATACCACATCAGCAAATGGAGGGCCCAAAAGCTTTACTCCATCCACATCATTAAGCTCAACTCTACTCAGAGGAGTCAGCTCTTCCCCAGATGTATTTTGAGTGCCTTCATACCTTAGGGGCTCATCTTCTGGCACTATATTGGACAATGTTTCAGGGCTCTTCATAAAGTTTCCCAGTAATATATCAGACAGTGTTTCACTGCTATTCATAAGGTTTTCACTGGCCAATTCTTTCTTTGAGAACTAGATGGCCCCTTTCTTCTTCTGAGCCTTTCTTAGTCTGGAAGCTCCACTGAAACCTGTCCACCATGGGTAACCCTGCTGGTATTTGAAATACCAGTGGTATGGCCTCCAGCCTCACAGCAACATGCAAGCCAGCACAGTACAACAAACTGACAGATGAGTGGTGGTACCTGTAACATATTTGTTGTTTAATTTTTGTTGAATTGAGTATAAAAATGCCCTAAAAGAATTCATTGCAGTTAAGGAGATAAAACTTGGCTTCATGAAACAATTTAAGAGTAGGGTGAGTGAACCTAGTAAGTACATTATGTCTGCAGTATATGTCAGGTTATCAGAGTTAGATGAGTTCAAAGACAGAAGCGTTCTGATGGGCAGCAGTAATCAGGGTTACTGTGCTTTCCCAATGACAACTTATGTGGATAGAAGCATTACAAACAATCAGAATGTTTGAAATTACTCCTTGCTCAGAATTAGTTAAAGATACAGTTGATTGAAATCTTTTACTGTGATTTTAAATTATGATCTCTATGAATACAGAAAGGTGCATGGTGGCTCAGTCTTGAAGCCTTGGCTGGTAACTGAAAGGTTGAAGTTCAAACTCACCACCCACTTGGAAGGAGAAAGATGTGGAAATCTGCCTCAATAAAGAGTTGTCCTCTGCCCTACAGGGTCACTATGAGTTGGAATCCATGCAATGGGAATTAGTTAATGAAGAGAGAAACTGTTCTAATATCCTGGGGGTTCTTGAGAGCATCTTAAGATTCCTGAACATTTGCCAATATTTTAGTGGATTCATGTTTGCCAAATAATTTAAAGACTGGATGGTTAGTGGTACAACATTATTCTTTAGATGATCAGCTTTTATAAGATCAGCAGAAGGAATGGTGAATATAACTCATTTAATTGAGTACATACTATGTATGAGGCACTGTGCTAACTACAGGTATTAGCTCTAAACTTCAACATTGAGACAAGGTGGTACTGTTTTCCTATTTTGTTGAAGAAGAAACTAACAGTTATGGGCAAAGATCTTATAGATAGTAAAGCACAGACCTGGCATTCAGACTCAGGCATCTGACTCCAAACTACTATGCAATAAGAATGATGATAAAGAACGATGATGCTGCTAATAAAAATGCCAAAGTAAAAACACTGGGATGTCTTTCTATTTCAGACCCAGACTCCTTTCAAGACTACATTAAGTCCTACCTGGAACAAGCCAGTCAGATCTGGCAATGGCTCCTTGGGGCAGCTGTGCTAGGGGCTGTCCTCACTGCTGTGCTGGGAGGGCTCACCAGCCTGCTGTGTCGTGGCAGAAGAAAGCAGCTACCTGAAGAAAAGCAACCTCTCCTCATGGAAAAAGAGGATTATCACAGTTTGTTGTCCCAGAGCCATTTATAAGAGACTGAGGCAATAGAGAAGGGCCATAAAAGCCAGATGCCACTTTAACTCAAAATGATGTTCCAGTTCATTCTCAAAATGTTACCTAATACATAGTGTGCCCCCACCTACCCACTCAGGTAGAACATATTTGTGCTTGCCTTGCTGATTTTGCGCAGCCCTCTGAGTTTCCCCCAATCCCATATTTCCAAGAAAATGATGACATTTGAGAGACTAACTCAAAAATATCTGAAATAAAGTGTCCTTATAAAAAGTTTGAATAATTTTGATTTTTGCCTTCTGATTATTTTACAATATATTTACTTTTTTATTACTTCCCTTTGTGTGTGTGTAACTTTTCACATTTTGTAGTTAACATTTTATTGTGATTTAGGTGAAATTTTAAAGAACACATTAGCTTCATGTTCAACAATTTATGCACATTTTGTTCAGTGACATTAGTTGCAATCCCCTCAGTGTATGTAACAGCACTCTTCCCACTCCTTCCCTGGCTTCCTGGGTTACATTCATCCTTCTTTCCTGCCTCTATGCCTTCTGAACTTTGTTTCTGGGCAAACGCTGCCCTGTTGGTACTGTATAGTTGACTATTCTGAAGAGGACATTTCTCATAGGTGTTATTGTTCACTTTATAGGCCTATCTGTTCTTTAGCTGAAAAGTGTGGTCAGGGGTGGATTCAGTTCCAGGCTTGAAGGGTGTCTAAGTACCACAATCTCAGGGGTTCCTTCAGTCTCTATCAGACCAGTAAGTCTGGTTTTTTTTATGACTGAATTTTGTTCTACATTTTCAACTACTCTGTCTAGGACCTTCTATTGTGATCCAGATCAAAGTAGTTGGTAGTGGTAACCGGGCACCATCTGGTTCTTGTGGTCTCAGTCTAATGGAGGCTGTTGTTCATGTGGTCCATTATTCCTTTAGACTAATTGTTTTCTTGACTCTTTGATTTTCTTCTCTTTTCTTTGGCTGGCAGTTCAAACCCACCAGCCACTCCTTGGAAGAAAGGTTGGACAATCTACTTCCATAGAGATACTGCCTCAGAAACCCAAGGAGGGGTCATTATGAGTCAGATCCGAGTCAATGGCAGTGAGTTTTCTTTGCTCCAGATGAGGAGAGAACAATAGTTGCATCTTAGATGGCTGACCACTATGACCAAAGACTCTAGTCTTTTAAGACCCCAATCACTACTCACAAAACTAGGATGTAGAATATTGTGGACTATGTTATACCGATTGACCTAGATGTCCCCAGAGCTCTCCATTCTTTGGTTTTAATAAAATAGAAAGAAATCCACATAGCAGATTCCTTTGAGCTTGGGAAAGACATTTATATTTTTTCCCATATACTTTACATTCTCTTGCAAAGTGTGTTATGGACCTCAAATAGAAGACAAGCTCCAGCTCTTAAATGCCATATCACTGCCTATACTATTTAAGGTCACTAAGAACAATGGCCTTGTCCTTACAACAATATATCTAAATGCCTGTCTCAAGAGGAATCTATGAAATCTGTTGATTGTACTAATAAGCCTATTAATGCTTTTCTAAGAATTTTATTTTATTATAAAGTATTTATAATGCTACAAAACATTGGGGTGTGTGTGTGAAGCGAGGGGAAAGACCAATCATCTGGATATCAGCCTGTCTTGCAGTTTTAGTAGAAGAACTCATTTCCAATTTCCTTGGCTATTAAGGCCTTAAATTAGGATGTCCAGATGATTTCTCCACTTGATTTTTTTCCAACCCAGTTGAATTTCTAAAAATAGTTCAATGGACACTACATTTATATATATAGCTATGTATATCATAAAAGGCAAAAATCAGTGGGTAAAGTTATAGAAGGCCCAGTTTGGTACCATGAAAGGACAAACTGGTACTCAGATCTTTCCAAAGCTGGAATAGACATTCTTGGAAGATAATCAGTGGCTGTCACTGCAATTCTTCATATGTAGGATCCAACGACTAATTTTACTTAGATTCTATAGTATTTTCACCACTGAGTCTATAATACTACTTATTTAAACTGGCTCAAGACTCTTAACAATTTCTTCCTCATTCAGAGCCAATACCAAACATGATACTTAAAAACTCTGTGACTCTGCCATATTGTTTCAGGATGCTTCACCAAATTCAACCTCCCACCCTTCTGACCAAACTTGTTTGCTCTGTACTGGTGTCATCAATTTCTACACATTTCTTTATGCCTAGTGTGTGCTTATCTGTTCAGTGTTTTCAATATGTACTTCAGTTTGGCAACTTGACTCATACCTGAACACCATTCTTCCTCCCTGGACACTATATTTTCACCCTCTCTTGGTTGCTTGCCTTCAAAGCAGGCATACTCAATCCAGGGTCCTTGAAATCTGCCTGGCTTTGGCACACTGAACTTCTACTTCTCCAGGAGGGTAGTTAAGATGAGATTTATTGATCTTTATGGCAGCTTTCAACTCTGATAGTCTCTAATTCCTGTCAGGTCTGAATCAGAGTTTATATGGTTTGTGAATGCATTTAAAAATAAATTGAATGAAGAATATGATCTTAAAAAAAAAAAAAAAACCTGTTATGTAGGTAATACTGACTTATAGCCAAGACCATATATCTTTCAAGTGATTTCTTAAATTTAACTTAGTCCCAATTGGATTTTAAAAGAAAGGAAAATTGCCCTACTATACACATTTGTCAAGTGATTCTTGTTAATTTTAATCTAGAATGAATAGACATTTATAATATATCACTGAAGTAATCTCATTAATGATCAGAAATTAGTTAACAGTTAATAAACTCAGTTATTATGTGTAATAGTCATTCTATAAGTTGACAAACATCATTTGCTAGCCTATTACTTAGTGAAGTAAAGGAGGGGAGGTCTGTGGGACTAGACAGCAAACATTGTTCATTGGGTAAATCTGCTGCAAAAGACCTCTTTAAACGGGGCCGACTCGACGGCATATAACAACAACAACAACAACAAAGTTTACAAAGCAAAAATGTCACTTTGATGACTAAGGTGCACCTCAGTCAACCCATGATCTTTTCAATCACCTCATACGAAAGTGAATACTGGACAATGAAAAAGGAAGAAAGAATAAGAACTGATTGATTTGAATTGTGGTCCTGGAGAAAAACTTTGTATACATACTATGGACTGCCAGAAATAAAACCAAATGGTTTGTTTACTCTGGGTGTGTCATCAGGAAAGACCAATAGTTAGAAAAGGACATGTTTGGTAAAGTAGAGGGCAGTGAAAATGAGAGAATCCTCAATGAGATGGATTGACACACTATGTACAACAATGTAATCAAATACACCCATAATCATGAAGAAGGCGCCAGCAGGGTAACTTTTTGTTGTTGTTGTTGCTGTTGTAGTTATACATAAGGTTATCATGAGTTGGAGCCCACTCAAGGGCAAACTCAACAACAACAACTAACCCTCAACTTGGTGAATAACTGGGAAAAAAGATTTAAAATAGATCAGAAGAATGTTATCTAAAAAATGGACTAAAAAGTGGATTTAATTTAATTGGAAATTAGAACTAGTAAAACTGAGAGCAAAGAGGAGAAGGAAAAAAATTGAGTAATGCTTGCAGTAGATTCTGGGGAAGGGAATATAGAACATAATTTATACTCTGGTCTCAGAGCACAATTTTGTATTAGGTTTGGTTCACCTAAAGGAAGCTAGGGTGTATTGAACACTACAAAGCATCTACATGTGGGTATCTGTGATAGTTGGAGCTGTGTGTCAACTTGGCTGGACCACAGTTCTGTGTGGTTTAAGCAGCTGTGATGTGGTTATTCCCATGATGGGATAGAATGTATGTTTTGAGCAGCCAATCTGTTGAAAGGGAGTTTCCCGAGGGGTATAGCCTGTTTCCAGTATATTTATGGACATCCTGGGAAAAGAGACACTCTTCTGTGGATCAGGATTCTGTTGTGCTACCTACAACTGTCTGTGAGTGAACAATTCACCATTCGGCCTGGAGATCTTGGATTCATCATTTGTTGGAGTCAACAGCCAGTATACTGCCTGCCAACCTTGAGCTTGTCAGTCCCTGCAGCTGCGTGAGTCAGGAAAACCCTCCAGCTTGACATTTGATCCAAGAACTTTGGACTTGCCAGCTTCTACAAATGTGTAAGCCATTTTCCTAAGATAAATTTCTCTTTCTCTCTCTATATAAGCTTTACTGGTTTTGTTTCTCTAGAGAACCCAGTCTAACACAATATCTTAGTTAGGTATGATATAGAAGGCAAGTTTTTAGACTATAAAAAAAATCAAACTCACTGTCATTGAGTCAATTCCGTCTCATATCAACCCCCTTTGGGTTTCCGAGGTGGTAAACCTTTACAGAAGTAGACTGCCCAGTCTTCCTTCCACAGGGTGACTGGTGGGTTTGAAACTCCAACCTTCTGGTTAGCAGTCAAACACCTTAGGCATTACACCACCAGAGTTCCTTTTTTTTAGTCTAGAGTGGTACTTTATTTTTTCATCACATTTTAATAAAAGTCCACCCAAGAAATGTTGATTGTTACTGGCAGAGATCGATATAATCTTTTTTTCACAAAGCAATTCCCTCTATCAGTGCACCTCAACAAAGAATATTGTTTTGCTTCTATAGAAGCTCAAGGTATCTGCTTGTGTTGAAGCCACCTCTGTGAAAAAACTACTACCACAGTGGTTCCATTGTTTTCTCAGTAACGCACTGAAATTACATGGTTGGTATTTCCAGAGATCTGGCAGTTTCATTATATTTTAATCAGTATTATCTTCTATGGCTTTGTTTTATGGTGTGACTTTTATAAATAATTTCATTTTTGTTCTGATCTGTTTCCATTGCTACACTGTTAGTCACATTTTGTCAGAGAGAGACAAATAAGCAGCTGCTACTCTTTTTGTTCCTCTTTCTGTCTTGTTTGGAAAAAAAAAACCCTGTATTTTTAGTATACAACCTTTTGAAAAAGTCAAATATATAATTCTCCATCTGGAGAAACAAATATATGATGGGTACAAATCATTTCAACCAGTGTCTCCAGCAGGATGACAATGGGCACTGATGGTGAATGTTCTTAAATAGTTTT